ATGATGCGCCCACGCACTCTTTGCGTTGCAGTCCTAGTGCACGTCTCTCGTCATGTACGTTAATCGGCTTGAAGTTCCGCCTCGACTGGTCACAACCTGGAGCTGAGCCACGTGATGTAAAACTCCACGGGTCGCTCTAGCATCTCGTTGTCGAGGCGAATCGCCCGCACGTGTTAGGCACGCACAAGCGCAGAAAGGTCGTAATCGCGTTCGTGTTCAACTCCTTGTTCAATCCCGTAATCGTTGTGACGGACATCGAGACGTCGAGCGCTCTTTGAGCTATCGGTGACGCCAAGGTCATGCATCGCGTGATTCAATTACCAAGGACACGCTGCGGGAACTGTGGCGCTTTACCTCGGCCAAGTGATTACGACGGCCGGCGAACCTTTTCTAGTTGTCTTTCCACAAGATCCGCGAGGTCGTGGCCTATTGCTTCGACATGCAGCTCCATTTTCTTTCCGCACAATTGTCCGAGGGCCTTTAGAATCATGTAGTCGCGACCTTTTCTCCGGTTAACGACGCGTCCGCTCTCTAGCTTTATGCGCGCCGGAATTCTCCAGCTCAGCAGTCGACTCTTCGCTGCTGGTTGTACTAGTACTTGCGTACTGTAATGATGGTTATGAACTGACAAATATATTGACGTTGTAACCACTACCACTGATATGCGTTGTTTCCTCTCATAATATTGCGTCTTAATATGGGCCTGGCATCATCATCGGCTACTACAGCAATATATGTGGTTAACATTTACCTGACGTGACCAGTATCACGATAAGTGTTGGCGAGAGCAACGGTTAACCTGCAACTCTCCTCCTGACCGTGATGATCTACTCACTTTGTAACTCGCGCTTCGCCACCTAAAGTTGATATCTTAGCTCCTCGAATGTGTGACGCGGGAGCACTTTGGTCAGAATATCTGCAAGCTGGTCCTTACTGGCACACCATTTCACCTTCACGCGTCCTTTGCTAGTTTCATCCTTAATATAGTGATATCTTATAGAAATGTGCTTTGCAGCAAATGAAGCCATCTCGTTTTTCATCGTTCGTATTGCGCTTTGGCTGTCAACCATGATACTTAGGACAATTTCGATGCGGAGCAGCTTTTAAAGGAGCTGCCTGATCCATCCAAACTAAGACACACTCGTCACACCGGCAATTAACTCTGCTTCCATAGTAGACATCGCAACAACGGCTTGCTTCTTTGAACTCCACGCTATCGGCCGCCAATTTGCTTCAAGGAAGGCGACGCTTGTTGATTTTCGGTCGACTCGATCACCAGCCCGATCAGAATCGGACCAAATGTTGACCTCGAGATTATTAACTGAAATAGCCTCACTTGTCTATAAGTTGCGCAACACGATCCGATGTGCCCTTGGGATAGCGAAAAATTCTTTTAATCAGCTCCCAATGGCACTTACGAGGCTTCTCGCGGTGTCTTAACGCATAGTTTGTAGCATACGCTATGTCCGGATGAGTAGAATATGCAATCTATAGAAGAGTACCGATAGCCTCACGTACGCGATGTAGGTTCACTAGTTCTTCGCTGTCAGTATCATTATAGTCTTTGTTGGGATCCATTGGAGTCGTGACAGTTCTGACATGTTAAAGATTGAATGCGCGGAGTGCGTCACATATTATGCTCTGCTGAGATACAAAAAACTTTGCGAGGTCTCGTGCACTGCGATATCAAGAAAGTTCTTCACTGGCCCGAGCATCTTGATGCTGAAGCGCTCTTCCAGCTTCAGTGCAACATCGCGCAGCTCCCCCTCGTCATTAAACGCGATCAGCACATCATCCACGTAAAGTCCAAGAAACGTCAACCGCTCCTTTCTTCCGCGCTTGTAATAGATGCACGGTTCGAGTCTTGACTTGATAAAACTAAGTGCGATGATGTACTCGTTCACCGTCTCATTTCAGCAGCGACCCGACTGTTTAAGTCCATACAATGGCTTTAGCAGCTTAAGTACCTAGCCCGCCTCGACGTTTATCTCCCTGGTTGCCTTCATGTAGATGAGTTCGCGCAGCAAATCCTTTGCGTAGGCATTAGGAGCGTCGCCATTAGTCAGTCGCAGTCCAACCAAGCTTGATAGGGCAAAAAATAGACGCACGCTGCTCATTTAGATGACCGGTGCAAATGTCTCCGAAAAATCAACGCCGTACTTCTAGCTGAACCCTCGAGCAAAATTTCTTGCCTTAATGGCTCAACATCACCATCGGCATCAAACTTGATCTTTAAAACCCATTTGCTGTCGACGATGTTTGTACCCTTCTTTGGTTCGTCGACAACCTCCCAAGTGCCATTTTCGACGACTTTATCGAGCTCTGCCTTATTCGCATCGATCCAGTTCTGTCTTTTATAAATTTCATGACTTCTTTGACGGACCTTGGCTCTTTGACTCGTTCAACCACCATTGCACCGTCAGCATTTCGAGCAGGCATGTTGACATAACGACGCTCGCGTCGTACTGCCAGCGATTGATTTACACCAGTGTGTAAGTCATCCTCAATTTCTTTGCGACCAAAAACGCTCGATCCATATTCACGTGTACTCGGTATGCTCTCTGTGTCAGAGATGTTGTCGATGAGTTCATCATCTATAGCTCGTAGATCCTTGTCGATCCTTTTCTTGGCCGAGTTTATCGACTGGACATGCTGCGATACCAAAATCTTCTTGATGCGTTTGACGAACACGAGATGTCCCATGACCTTGTCATCATACCCGATATATATGCCGTGCTCACACTTCTTTCGTGATCCCAGTGACTTGCTCTTGAAATGAACCGTGTCTCTTTGTCCCCAATTTAGTCCACTCATTAGGTTGGGCTTGTGTCCAGTGATAGCTTCAATAGGCGACTTGTTCCCGCCGTTTGCGCGTGTCGGGAGTCGGTTTCGTAAACATGACTAATGTCGTAGTGCTTCCGACCATAGAGAGCAAAGAGCCTGATCAGAATCAAACATCATAGCCCGCATGCCGTCAAATAAAGTCCTGTGACGCCTCTCCACCTTTCCATTAAAACACGATTTGTCCGGTTCCGTAAGTTGCTGTCGGATACCGCGTTTTGCACACCACGACCTTATCTTGTTCGTGTCAAATTCATTGTCACTCCAAATGACCTTCACTCGCACGTCGTATTGTGGCTCCATTCTTAAAATAAATTCTGTCAGCAACGGAAACCAGTCGGACTTAGCACGCATTCGAAATACTTCTCCATAGCTAGACGTGTAGCTGACAACATGCAAAGAGTGAGTGCAGCCTTTTTAATCGTGCGGTTTGACGTTTGTCTTGAAATCAACCCCATTTACGGCGCCAATCTCATCCGTTGGTGCTGATTCGGAAGTGTCAGTTTGCGCTTTAGCGCTTCTTGTTTGTTTCCCCTCGCGACATGCATCACAATCACTTCGCTTCTTGTCAGTGATGTGTAGACCATCAGCAAGCTCATGATTTTCAATCATCGCTACATCATCAACGTTAACATGTCCGAGAAGAGCATGCCACCCCATGATGATGTCCTTTGGTTTCGCTGCGATTCTCGAAACAGCTAAAGCGATTGCATGCCCATTAATGTAGCAAGGTCTATAGTTTCAAGTGGCGCAGCCAACGTAAACTATGACTTACGTGTCGTCAAACTTGTACAGTGATGCGCCTTGCTTTGTAAATGAGGCATGAATACTTTTCTTTCCAAGTTGACCAATTGATAGCAGATTTTAGCGCAGGCCCGGAATCACGAGCACGTCTTGCAACAGAATCTTGGTTTGACTTCCGTTGACATCAATCTCCATCACGATATGACCACACGTAGTAGACTGGATGGTGCGTCCATCTGCGATAGTTACGGACAGATTGCATGCGTACTCGTTTTTCCGTGCAAATTCGGTACCGCATATGTGAAGACTAGCGCCTAAGTCCAGCAATCATTCCCGTTCATCACTGATGCCTCTGAATGCTGCCCAGCATGATGAGTACTGACATTATTTATCGCCAGTCTTGTTGATCTCGAGAGATACCCCAACTATATTTGCTGAGCCTGTTGACCTTTTTTTCTTCTCCAGAAACTCCTTCTTGAGTGGACATGTTGTAGCAATGTGTCCCTCATCCTCACCAGTTCGCTGCAGCGAGACCTCGATCAGCGAGAAGGGCACGCTACCGAAGGCGTTTTTCAGGTCGTACCAGACCTGGAACAGCGGGCGACGCTTGCGGCGGGAGTTGTCAATCAACATGGATGCGAGGAAATTTTGTTCCCCGCAGCCGTTGACCGCGCGAAAGCCCTTTTGACCCGGCGCGTGTTGGTCATTGGCGTCCATCCACCAGACCAGACGCCGCGCGAGAACGCCGGTGTACAACTTGTAAATGGCTTGCTGGAGGCAAATGGGCCTCCAGTTCGCCGGGTCATTACGCGGGCCCATCTTGTACAGCAATCGAACGATGCTCACCTTCCAGCTCTGCGGGACCTTCTTCTCCAGCCAGCATCGCTTGAACATCGTCGTCAGAACGGTAATCAGCTGAGGCCCGAAGAACTTGTACACGTCATAACCGACGCCATCAATCCCAGGGCTGGACGTGGCTCGCGCATGTTGCAGCTGGTCTTCAATGTCGCCCGCAGTAGGTGCCGTAGTGAGCAAGTCAGTGAGCCGCGACGTAACAGGAAGCTGAGCCATAGCTGAGCGAAAGGCCTTGCCGACAGAAGCATGCACGTCAAAGGTCTGACGAGGAGCATTAACTCCATCGGAAGAACGCCAAAGGTTATCGCTGGAGATGGGGCAGACGCCATCATCCACTGCAACCGTGGCCGGGTCCACCCCATCATCCAAGGAAGCAGCTCCGTTAGCGCCACAGCGCCACAGCGCATCAGCGCTGTGGCGCTCTGCCGGCCACGGTTGCAGTGGATGATGGCGTCTGCCCCATCTACAGCGATAACCTTTGGCATTCTTCCGATGGAGTTAATGCTCCTCGTCATACCTTTGACGTGCATGCTTCCGTCGGCAAGGCCTTTCGCTCAGCTATGGCCCAGCTTCCTGCTACGTCGCGGCTCACTGACTTGCTCACTACGGCACCTACTGCGGGCGACATTGAAGACCAGCTGCAACATGCGCGAGCCGCTTTCAGCCCTGGGCTTGATGGCGTCGGTTATTACGTGTACAAGTTCTTCGGGCCTCAGCTTATTACCATTCTGACGACGATGTTCAAGCGATGCTGGCTGGAGAAGAAGGTCCCGCAGAGCTGGAAGGTGAGCATCGTTCGATTGCTGTACAAGATGGGCCCGCGTAATGACCCGGCGAACTGGAGGCCCATTTGCCTCCAGCAAGCCATTTACAAGTTGTACACCGGCGTTCTCGCGCGGCGTCTGGTCTGGTGGATGGACGCCAATGACCAACACGCGCCGGGTCAAAAGGGCTTTCGCGCGGTCAACGGCTGCGGGGAACACAATTTCCTCGCATCCATGTTGATTGACAACTCCCGCCGCAAGCGTCGCCCGCTGTTCCAGGTCTGGTACGACCTGAAAAACGCCTTCGGTAGCGTGCCCTTCTCGCTGATCTGGGAATCGCTGCAGCAAACTGGTGTGCCCAAGGCATATGTCGACATGTGCAAGGGCCTCTACGATCAAGCAGCCTTTTTGGTCGGCAATGCACCGGATGGGACGACTGCGCCGATCCGGCAGCAAGTCGGGGTCTTTCAGTGGTGTCCGCTGAGCCTGCAGCTGTTCAACGTTGCGCTCGGGCGCTTGCTGATTGCGTTACGGCGGCTGCCGACTACAGGCGTGCAGATGTCGAGCGATGACCGTCCCGGTGCCTCTGCGTATGCGTATAATTTAAAGATTTTCAGTGGCACTGAGGACGGCATCAAGCAGCAACACGCACTTGTTTTCGGCTTCTTGCGCTGGACTGACATGGCTGCCAACCCACAGAAAAGTAGCACCATGTCATTCCAGCACGATTCGCGTTCAGTTTTGCGCGTGATGGATGCTGGATTGAAGCTGGATGCCACCCCGATCCCCTCACTTCAGCTTGACGAATCTTACAACTACTTGGGGATCGGGGACGGGTTCGACCACGTGCGCCGACGCGTCGAGCTCGCTCCGACGCTCACACAGCTCAAGCACGATGCGACGGAGCTGCTGCAGTCTGGGTTGGTCCCGTGGCAAGTGGTGAAGGCGGTGAAGGTTTAACTTTACCCGCGGGTCGAGTACGCCCTCCGGTACTTGAGACCGTTTGCTCAACAGCTGGAGGACTTCGACCGCCACCTTGTTCGCGGCCTTCTCCACTTGCTGCGGCTTCTCGTTAAAGCGACGACGGAGTTCTTCTACGCGCCTGTGTCGCGCGGTGGGTTCGGGGATGTTGCCTCTGACGGAGCTTCACGGTGCCTTGCAAGTCGCGCACGGGTGGCAGATGCTCCACTCTTCTGACCCTTCCATCTGTCGCATTGCACGTCAGCAGCTCCGTCAGATTGCTGACTCCAGGTTCAAGATTGATGCTGTGGTCTGGAAGGACCGTGAAGAAAGCTGTGCCAGCTGCTCCTCCTCAGCAAGTTGGGGACGTCGGCCACAGCGACGCCCAAGCGGCACAACGGTGACATTGGGTCGCTGTGGTTTGATGTACAGGGTCACCTCCACCGCTTCGGCTTGAAGTTTGAGCAGTCGCCGGCGGTGGAGGAGACTAACACGACAGCACAAAGGTTGCAGCTTCGCGTGCCGCACCGCGCCGAGTGGTTGGACAATCGGGATGTCCTTCGGCACGTGAAGTTGCACCTCAAGAACAAGCACTGGACGAGGTAGGCAGCCATGCGGGACCAAGGCAAGACAGCACGCACGCATGGAGGTGCCGGTAATGGATTTCTCACTAGGCCGAGAGGCATGTGGGAGTCCGACTACCGATTCGCGATCGCCGCCCGCCTGAACCAGTTGGACACGTTCAGTGTCCTGAAGCGCCGGCGTCTCCGAGTGCACGACAAATGCAGGCATCCCGGGTGCTGACGCTCGTAGACGTTGGCGCATGTTTTTAATCACTGTGCCGGGACGATGGACGCGGTACGAAGTCACCATGATGACACTCTCACGATGATCGAGCGGACGCTTCTCTCGCAGCCTGGTGGCTCCCGCGACCGCGTCGAGTTGCGAGTTAACCAGACAGTTCCTGGACTTGCCGGACAGGCGCTACGGCTAGATCTACAGCTGTACAACCACAGCAAGAAGACGGTTGCGGTAGTGGATCTGGCTGTAGCGTTTGAAGAACAAGCTGCTGACGACCCTACCTGCTCTGATTTCGCGCGCGTGGCTGTGCAGAAGCGCACCAAGTACGACTGCATCAAGCGACACCTAGAGCATCAAGGTTGGACGGTTCACCTTTCCGAGCTCGTATATGGTGCGCTTGGTGCAGTCGTCGGTGGTAACCTTGCGGTGTACACTGATCACCTTGGTGTGCTGAAGTGCGATGCGAAGCGTCTGGACAGACAACTCTCTGCTGAGTGCATCAAGTCCAGCCGCCGCATATGGAATTTGCACTGCAGCCAACACCAAGCGAGGCAGCAAGGTCAAGGACACGGATCTGGGTTTCGTGACGATCAAGTTCAAGGTCTTGATCGCTGGACAGGTCAAGTTCGAGCAAGGCAGGATGCAAGGGGCAGTCGAGTGACGGAGACCGGGGGGAATCCGTCACGCCAAGGCCGCTGCTAAGCGTTTCTCAGGCCCATGGTGGCCGACAGGGCCATACCCATGTAGGGAACCGCCCTCCAAACTTAACCGGTACGTTATAGTCTAGCTCTGTGTGGTGCAACCTGTACCCAACTTACACACCACATAGTTTCTATTGGGTATTTCTATACCCTTTAGAAATAGACTAACCGGATGGTAATACATACACTTCTCTGTTCTAATCAGTGTGAAGACTGGTTTTCGCCTTTTGGCGGACTTTTTCACATTCATTTTTGGACACGCGCGGGCGACTGCGCAGGTCTCCGGGGGCCTTCACCTTACCCCCGCGAGGCCGACACCGTGCACCTCAGTCTTTACTACCCTTTTACATCGCTCAATACATTGTTCGTTTGTTGTTTGGTCTTTTTCGTCCCGCCCCGGCTCTACACCTCCGCATTTCTATGCGCTTCTGGTGGCCGGACTGGCACTCCGAGCGCTCGCCGTCCAGCGACAGCGAGTGCTCGACGGACGACCACTCCATTCTCGCCAGCGACGGGTCGTTATACGACGCGTCATCTGACGCTGAGACTGGGGTGGATTTCGACCTATCGCCGTCCTCTATCCTCGATGACACGCAACTCGTCATCGGGGATAGGACGGCTGCAAATCACATGCGCCTGTTCCCGAAACGTTCTGCCGTCCCTATCCCACTTGAAGTGGGACCATACGGGATGGAACGAGCCGACATGGGACAGGCGCATCAAAAAATTTAGCGCCACCGTTTTCGGCCGAAATGGCGGCGAAAATGGACCGCGAGCGCCGCCACGCGCGACACCGCCCCGCGGCGGTGACGCGGAATTGGACGCCGCCACTTAGGGCACGTGTTTGGAACACACCTCTACCCTGGCCCTGCAAGTGCCTGCGCGCGGCGACGTCTCTGGCGCGCGCGCGGAAGCCCGGTCTCCGGTCCCGACATTGGGTACCGTTGAAGACCGGGGAGAGGCCCGGCGGCACCCCGTTGGTACCGGTGAAGGTACCTTCGGCCATATACTTGGCTTAAGTATAGGGATCGCCGTGGATTCTCAAAAAGAGCAACAACACGCGCCGACGGACACCGCTCAAGATGGCGCAGCGTGCGTCGGCCCGATCGGGGCCTCAAGCACATCACCCGCCGCCTCCTCCGCGCGCCGCTCGGCTCCCCCTGCCTCCCTGGACGCTCTCGCGACTGCCGTGGCCCCGCAGGACGAAGATGCGATTGTTGGCATACCCGGCAGGGCGGAAGTTACGCTACCCGACCGGGTATCGCCGCAAGCAGGCCAATGACTTCAGAGCGACGGTACCCCGGGCGCAATCATGCGGCGCCTGGGTACCAAGACGCGCACAGAGGATCAGGACACGTTGTGGAGCGCCCTCTCAGACGTGGGAGCGGCCCAAGACACTGCAATTGATGATGTTGGGCCCGGCAGGGCGGCAAGCATGCTGCCCAACCGGATCCAGCATGGACACGCTCAGAGCATCGGCTCCCCGGGTGCTCCCAGACAGCTCCCGGGTACAGGCGCGTGCGCGACGGCTTCCACCACCCTCCCGCTCGCTGCAGAAGCCCCCTCCGCTGCCCAAGACTACGCGAATGTTGCTCCTCCACCCGGCAGGGCGGCACGCATGCTGCCCGACCGGGTGCAGCTCGGGTCCGCGCTCGTAGCCGCTACGGCTCGCGCACTGGGCGCCTGCCACGGCCCCAGCGACCCAGAGGACAGCTCAAGCAGCGGCAGCGGGGCTTCGGACGACGACATCCCTGCCTCTTCAACGGACAACGACGCTGTCAGACCAATTGATGACGACCGGCTTAGCAGGTAGCTACGGAGCTGCCTGCCCGAGCTGGATACAGTGCAGTGGCTTCGGCCCTACCCATGGGCATGCACGACTCCCCTCACGAGGCCGTGTCCACTGCAGAAATCGTTATGTCCCCCTTTTGCAGGTTGATGACGGCCAGCTTGGCGGGCAGGCACACATGCAGCCCGACCGAGCTGGGTATGCCTCTCCGCTGCCACACGGCAGCGTGGCGCTTGATATCGACGCACCAATGTTGCAAGACGAAGAGAGCAAGCGTGGCGAGGACGAAGGTCGTCAGGATCGCTGCCAAGCTGCACCACAGCCCGCCTTAGGTCAGCAGGACCATGTGCTGTCAGTGGACGCACACAACGCCCCACATTTAGTCGCACGTTGTATGCGTACACTGCATGCGATATGGCAGCGCTGGCCTGTCACCGACGAACCGCACACCGTGGTACCTGCTTCGTGGACCGCTTCTACAACAGGTGCACGTGTGGGATTGGACATAGGACACGTGCAGCAGCTACGAAACATGCCTTGGGCTGCCGTGACAGTCCGTCCTACGCGCCCCCTGCTGCACGTGCTCCTCCCGGTTCGTCGCCCACACTCTCTCGTTCTTGTCCCGTGTATGATGTCTCGCACGAAGAGGTGGTCCTGCCACCTACCGGGCCCCTCTTTGCGGTGGCGTCTACGGCAGCTGCAGCTGCATCAAGCCGCACTGTAGCCGCAGACGTTGCCCACCAACATAGCGCCGTACCTACCGCTCTCAATTCCGCCGGGCACCAGCATGTCCCGCCATGTGGTGCCCATCTCTGCCACAGCGTGAAGTCCGGGTCGCTGGCAAACACCGCCGCCTTGATGACCTGGCAGCGGTGTTTCCCGACCTGGATGAGCTCATGGATGACGCTCGCGTGGATACAGGCCCAATACTGGGTGGCGATGAAGACATTTACGGCAGGGATATCGTGGTTGCAGATAGGGATACGGCTCGATCGACTTGATGGGGGCCTCGTCACTTTGCAGTGGGCGCAGCATCCATCACTTCGCCGCCGACTGGTGTGCATGCAACCCCGGCTCCGGCAGTGCGACGACCGCTGACTCCTGCTGCATCCGGCACTCGTGCCACGCGGTGGGGGCCACGTCACTGCGCGATCGGGGCCGCGGCGGTTGCCCACCTTGTCACTGGCGAAACGACTGTTCCAGCGCCCACTGCTCGGCACCCACTGCCAGCAGCGCCTCGACGAGCGACGACACGTTGGGGACCTCGCATTGTGGTGACGGTGCCTTCAACAGGGCGCCGAAACTACATACGACGGACTTCCTCATCCGTTGTCAGGGCGACTGCTGCGGAAGATGCTCCGTCCCCTGCCCCTACGGCTCCGCCGCCTATTCCTGTACCACGTCCCGCCGGTCCCTCCCCGTCAGTGGCAGCAACGGCTGGTGTCGCCGAGGCCGAGCCATGGCTTCTGCGATTTGATGGTGCTTGCCGACGGAATCCTGGCCAAGGCGGCGCTGGTGCGGCTCTCTTTGACTCGAGAGGCACCGTGGTTTGGACGTGCTCATACTTTCTCCCCGCCAGCGGTGAAACTAATAACACTGCTGAGTACACAGCTCTACTGGTGGGGGTCCAGAACGCAGTCCACCATGGTGCCACGCGATTGCTCGTCGAAGGTGATGGCAACCTGGTGCTGGCTCAGGTGCGCGGATTGTTCGGCTGCCACAAACGACGGCTCAGGCGCTAGCGAGGTCAAGTGCGAACGGAGTTGGCACGCCTTGACTGGCACCAACTTCGGCGTATCGACAGGCAAGCCAATGCCCACGCCGACCGTCTTGCTAACCGTGCACTTGACCCCCGACGCACCGCCGTCGAGTGTGGACCTCATTCTAGTGTCATGGATATCTGCTTTATCCTGGATTCCTCTCCGCCGGCTGCTACACCGGCAGAGCCGGGAACTCCTGCTGATGGGTTTATTGTCGATGACATGGTGATGGACACAGTTAGTCTTGACATTGAGGCCGAGATTGCTGCTCGTGATGGAGGTGAGGTATTTCCAACCTTGCCTATTGGCCCAGAATCATCTCCCGAGCGGTAACCTCGGCTTCGATTGCGTCCGTTGACCGAGGCGGAACATGATACGGCTGCAGCTGCAGTGCAGCGATTTGCCGAGGTCATGGCTTGCAAGATTGTGGACGCGGACAGTTGGGTTACAGGGGAAGGTTACATCTCTGCTATTCCTAACCGTCTTTGTGAAGCCCTTCTGCCGTCCACCATCGTCTCGGCTAGCTCTGCCAGACCTCGAGCTACTCCGCCTCGCCTGCGACAACGTCGACCTCCACGTGTGACGCACACGCACCGAGAGCATCGTCTCGATGAGTCCCTGGACGACATGCAGACGACTCAGCGCGCAAACCCGGGTGATCGCCAAGCGGAGCAGAAGGTTCGCTGTCGTGTTGGAAGGATCCGTGCATAGATGGCGCAGCTGGACTTGCGTCGAGCTTCCGCCACGGACGAATCCACGTGTGTGGCCAAAAATTTGGACGGTGCCTCGGCTAAGACCGCGGGTGTCGAGCATCCAGACACCTGCCCCATCGAAAGGGAGGAGCTCCACCGTCATTTTGTGGGCACGAGCACGGCCCCAGCTCCATTCAACTACGATGCTGATGTCTGTCGCGAGTTTAGGGTTGTGCTCAATGATTTCTCGATGGACACGTTGGTTGGCGATTGTTTTGACGGCGAGATTTCGATTGAAAAGTAGAGGACCAGCTACTGCGGGCTGCCTAGGCATCCAGCCCCGGTCACGATGGGGTTGGCTGTGATGTCTATCGCCGGTTTGCCCCGCAGTTGGTGCCCTTTTTGCATGCCTCGTACCAGTTCTGTTGGCTGCATCGGATGGTGCCTTCGCTGTGGAAGGTGGGCATCGTTCGCCTCATCCACAAGAAGGGTGACCCGATGCAGCCGACTAATTTTCGACCAATCTGCCTGCAGCCCGCTATCTACAAACTCTACAGCGGGCTGCTGGCACGTCGGCTATCGAGCTGGTTGGAATTGAACAACCGGTTGCCGATGGCGCAGAAGGGCTTTCGGGCCTTCAAAGGTTGTCACGAGCACAACTTCGTGACAACCACGATGTTGGACCAGTCCCGACGGTCGCACCGGAAGTTGTACCAAGTGTGGTACGACTTACGCAACGCCTTTGGTTCGCTACCACAGGCACTCATGTGGCAGGTGCTCCGCCGCCTTGGCGTCGAGCCCCGGTTTATCAGCCGATGCCAGGACATTTACGATGGGTCCGCCTTTGTGGTAGGGAACGCGAAAGACGGTGCGACTGACCCAGTGAGGCAGGAAGTGGGGGTCTACCAGGGATGTCCCTTGAGAACACTCTTGTTTATCGCTGCACTGGTACCTCTCGTACGCCGCTTGATACAGCTAGAGGATGTCGGTGTGCCGCTGGCGGATGGTGTACGGCCGTGTACCACCGCCTATGCTGACGACATCAAGGTGTTCAGCAACAGCGCCGCCGGTATCCAACGCTGTCATGGCGTGGTAACGCGCTTCCTCGCTTGGACTGGGTTTCGTGCGAAGCCGGCCAAGTGTGCTAGCCTCGCGGTTATCACCAATGTCCGCGGCAACCTGGCTCTTGACGATAGCGTTCGCTTGGAGCTTCATGGTGATGTCATCGCCTCACTCAATCTTAACGAGAGTTGCCGGTACTTGGGGGTGGGCGATGGCTTCGACCATGTGCAGCACCGCCTCCAGCTGGAGCCCAAGCTCCAACAGATCCAGCGGAAGGCGGTAGTGCTGATGCAGTCTGGCCTAGCGGTGTGGCAGGTGTTGAAGGCGTTGAAGACATACGTATACCCTAGGGTGGAATACGCCCTTCGCCACCTGCGCCCACTACATTCACACAAGGATTTGACTGCGCCGTGAAGCGTGGGTTGCGGCATCTGTTACGCCTGCCACAGTCCGCCACTACCGAGTTCTTCTACACACCTACTTCTGGTGGTGGGCTGGGCCTGCAGTCGCTGGTGGAGATGCACCAAGCGCTGCAGGTGGCACACGCGTGGCAGATGTTGCATTCGAAGTACCCCGCTATCGTGGCGGTGGCAAAGGCCCAGGTGGGTCAGGTGGTGCGCAAGCGCTACCGGCTTGTTGAAGACCACTGGGTGGGTCGAGACGACGAGCTCATCCGGTTATTTTTGAACTCGGAGCTTGCGTCGTCTCCCCATGCCACCGCCAATCGACGTTCGGGTGATATCGCTTCGTTGTGGGTGGACGTACAGCGAGTGTTATGCGTCCACCAACTCAAGTTCTCTGATACCACTGCAGAGTCTGGACAAGACCGTCTCGCACTTCGCGTGCCGCACCATGACAAGTGGCTTGACCACAAGACTGTGTTGCGGCACGTGAAGTTGCACATGAAGATTCGCCACCAGACTCGGTGGAAGAGTCTGGTGGATCAAGGCAAGACGGCCCGGGTACACGGTGGGCCCGGGTCCAAGTTTGTGATGTCGGGAGCGGGCCTGTCCGATGCTGAACACCGTTTAGGCATCCAGGCTCGCCTGAACCAAGTGGACACTAATTCGGTGCTCAAGCGACGCCGTTTGCGAGCCAATGCCCGTTGTCGGACGCCAAACTGCTCGAGTGCCGAGACGCTGGCGCACGTTTTGAATCACTTGTGCGCCCAATATGGGTGCAATACGCCAGCGTCACGATAATGCACTCGAGCAGATTGGTGCCAAGATTCGGCAAGCGCTCGTTCGCACCAAGTCCGGCGCAGAGCTGCGCCTGAATCAGACAGTCCCCGAGTACACTGGTGCAGCTCTGCGCCCGGACATCGTGCTGCGCGATGTGACCGCCAAGACCATGTTTATCGCTGACTTGGCGGTCACGTTTGAGGACCATGCTGCTGGCGCTCGCCACTCCTCACTTCACAGCAGCCATGACTTCAAGGTGCTAAAGTACAAGCCTATTGCGGATGAGATTGCGGTTGAAGGGGTGGCGAGTGCAGTCTGCAGCACTGATTTGTGGCACGCCGTGATCGGTGTATCCCAGCAACTTCAAGACATACACGGAGATGCTGCATCTGCTTAAGCGTGAGGCCCGGCAGCTGGATCTTCAGCTTTCGAGCCACTGCATACGATCAGGCCACAAGATATGGAGCGGGCATTGTCGTCTACACCGTGATCTACAGCGCAGTGGTGGTGCCTCGAGAGCATCGCGTGGGTCTGGAGGGACCCCGCGGAGCAGATCGCAGACACAGGTACGGCGATAAGCGGGTCATTTGACCGACAGGGCCCTACCCAGGTAGGACACCGCCCTCCAAACCCAACCGGTACGTTATAGTTTAGCTCTGTGTGGTGCAACCTGTACACAACTTACACACCACATAGTTTCTATTGGGTATTTCTATACCCTTTAGAAATAGACTAACCGGATGGTAATACATACACTTCTCTGTTCTAATCAGTGTGAAGACTGGTTTTCGCCTTTTGGCGGACTTTTTCACATTCATTTTTGGACACGCGCGGGCGACTGCGCAGGTCTCCGGGGGCCTTCACCTTACCCCCGTGAGGCACGACACCGTGCACCTTGGTCTTTTCTACCCTTAACATCGATCAATACATTGTTCGTTTGTTGTTTGGTCTTTCTTGTCCTGCCCCGGCTCTACACCTCCGCATTTCTATGCGCTTCTGGTGGCCGGACTGGCAGCTCCGGGAGCGCTCGCCGTCCAGCGACAGCGAGTGCTCGACGGACGACCACTCCAGTCTCGCCAGCGACGGGTCGTTCTACGACGCGTCGTCTGACGCTGAGACTGGGGTGGATTTCGACCAATCGCCGTCCTATCCTCGATGACACGCAACTCGTCATCGGGGATAGGACGGCTGAAATCAGATGCGCCTGTTCCCGGAACGTTCCGCCGTCCCTATCCCACTTGAAGTGGGACCATACGGGATGGGACGAGCCGACATGGGACAGGCGCATCAAGTGTGATTTTTGGCGCCCCCGTTTTCGACCGAAATGTCGGCGAAAATGGGCGCCCGAGCGCCGCCACGCGCGTTGCACACCACCCCGCGGCGGTGACGCGGACCCGCCGACGCCGCCACTTCAGGCACGTGCTCGCAACACGCCTCGCCCCTGGCCCGGCAAGTGCCAGCGCGCGGCGACGTCTCTGGCGCGCGCGCGGCCAAGATCAACCCGGTCCTCCGGTCCCAACGTTGGGTACCGTTTCGGGGACCGGGGAGAGGTCCGCCGACATCCGTCCCCGTCACTAGGGTCACTAGTGCGGGTCACGGACCCCCCAAAAAAAAAAAGGGTGGGGGCCCCCACCCCGCCCCCCAAAAAAGGGGGGGGCCCCCCCCCCCCCCCCCCCCTGGTACCGGTGAAGGTACCTTCGGGCCTATACTTGGCTTAAGTATAGGGGTCGCCGTGGCTTCGTCAAACGAGCAACACCGCCACGGCCACGACTCGCGCGCCGCTCCCGCCGCCGCCACGCCCACCGCCGGCCCACATCGGGCTCCGAGCCCGCCCCCCGCCTCCCCCGCGCGCCGGTTGGCCTTCCACGCGTCCCCGCCTGCGCTCCTGCGCCCGCCGCCGCCGCCCAGGACCCGCTGATGGTTTGCTTGTCTACCCGGCAGGGCGGGCGGCATGCTGCCCGACGGGGTATCGGGGCAGGACGTGCAAGGACAAGCAGAGCACCGGCTCCCCGGGCTTGCAGGCGTCTAGCCCGGGTTCAAGAACATGCACAGGGGACCGGGACGACTCTCCGCAAGCTCCTACGACGCAGGAGCGAGCTGCAAGACCGCTGGATTGATGGTGTTCCCACCCGGCAGGGCGGCAGGCATGCTGCCCGACCGGGTGGACGTGCAAGACACTCAGAGCAACGGCTCCCCGGGCACACAGACGTCATGCCCGGGTCCAAGGACATGTGCGACGGCTTCCTGCGCCCCCCCGCCTGCCTCCCCGGCCCCCGCCTTGCCCCCAAGACCCCCGATTGTTGATTTTCGACCCGGCAGGGCGGGAGGCATGCTGCCCAACGGGTCAGCGCTTGCAGCCGCCACGGCTCGCGCACTGGATGCCGTGCATGGCTCCAGCGACCCCGAGGACGACAGCAGCAGCGACGGGGAGGACTCGGCAGCAGACTACTCCTCTTCGTTGGACGACGACGACGCAGACATGCACTCCAGTGATGACGACCAGCTCGGGCATGCAGCTACGGAGCTGCCTGCTCGAGCTGGATACACTGCAGTGGCCGCGGCACCTCTGCGTGACCGTGTCCACTGCAGCAACTGTTTCTGTCCCACTTACCCTTGACGACCGACTCGGCTGGCAGGCGAACATGCTGCCAGACCGAGTCGGGTACGACGTACCTCTGCCTTGCGGCGCCAGCCTCGCTCTTCCTTCCGGGGTCCCTCCCGATGATGTTTGCGCACCCGGCAGGGCGGCTTGCATGCTGCCCGCCGGTGCAGCACCTGCCATGGCCACGGCGGTGCCTATGGACGTCGACCAAGGTTCGCCGTGGCCATTTGGCACCCCATCTTCGCTGCCCTCGCCGTCTGCTTTACGCATCGGGGGCAAGCGTCGACGATTGGACGACCTTCCCGGTGGCGACCCACGCGAGGCTGCCGAGCGACTGCTGCCCGAGGACGTCGAGGCCGGTTCTTTGAACTCATCGCGAACGCCTCTCATGGCCAGCGTACCACCGGCCTCCGTCCTGTCCGTGTATACACACAACGGGCACCACTTCCGGTGCACGTTGTGTGCATACACGGCACCAAGCTTTGCCTCGCTGCGCCGCCACCGGGAGTCAAGGCACCGACGCGTAACCTTTGTGGACCGATTTTCGGCAGGTTGCGCGTGTGGTACTCCGTTTGTGTCGAGGCTGGCTGCAACAAACCATGCACAAGCATGCGCCAGCCTCCAAGACACCTCGGCTGCGACTGCAACAGCAGTAGGGGACTTCAGCCCCGCTGCTGATGCAGTCAATGCAATCGCTTCAGCGGATGTTTTGCCTGCTCGACTGCCCGACGAAGAACCCGCGGTGCTCGCTGTGTCCCCCCCACAGTCGAGCACCCCCACTGCAACTGCAACTTCACGGTCAAGGTCAAGGTCCAAGAGGTCCAGTACACGATGGAGTGCCCCGCCCGTGCGTCCTCCCGTTTCAACCTCTGTTGGCTCGGCTGCCGTTGCTGTCTCTGCTTCCCGATGGGGTCCACCACTGCCTCGAAGCGTGGTGGTATCCCGGATTGCTGACCGTCTCCTCCCACAAGACCTTATGGAAGTGGAGGAGACTAAGACGGACGACATGGACACGGGCGGTGGATTTCCTATTACGATGGATGACGCTACGCCTACGGTGGACGACGACGCTTCTGGCGAGTGGCTGTTGCGCTTCGACGGTGCATGCCGGGCCAATCCAGGTCCCGGTGGAGCTGGCGCTGCCTTGTTCAAGCCCGGTGGTACGGTGGTGTGGACTTGTTCCCACTACCTGCCGAGCAGCAGTGGTACTAACAATACCGCTGAGTACACTGCGTTGCTGCTCGGTGCCCGGGCTGCAGCCGACCATGGTGTCACGTGCTTGCGGGTGGAAGGTGACAGCAACCTTGTCATCCAGCAAGTGCGTGGCATCTTCGCGACTCGAAGCCTGCCTCTCCGCCGTCTTCGAGACCAAGTCAAGGTGGAGCTAACCCGGATTGGGTCATTCACGCTCCACCATATCGATCGCCAGGCCAACGCTCACGCCGATCGTTTGGCGAACCGTGGGATGGACCTTCGCAGGACGGTGATGGAGTGTGCGGTACACCCAGATGGAACCGGGTGTACCCGTTTTGCTGACGTTGGGGAAGGGTCATCTTCCTCTCCAATGCATGCACCTCCACCTCCTCCTCCCGCGGTTGCAGACCAGCCTGCTATGGCTGTTGCTCCCGCCATGGTGGATCTGGATGACGATGACGACATGGTGGATGTGGATGATGGCGAGGTCTACGCGGCTATGCGCATTGGCGCGGATGCTGTTCCACAACGACGACCTCGCCTACGCCTCCGTAAGCTTACGGACGTGGAAGACGCATCGGCTCGGGATATGGTGGGACGTCTTGGCGCCTCCTTGGCTGCCAAGATTACGGATGCCGATGACTGGGAGACAGTGGAGGGCTACATCACGGCCCTCCCGTATACTCTGTACGACAAGTTGCAGTCTTACTCCCAGTCCCGGGCACCTTCACAAGCCCGTCCCGTTTGCTCACCACGTCCCGTGCGCCCTGGTGCCCCTGGGCACACCACGGATCAACCTCCACATTCTTCTCGCTCTCGCCGACGCTCCTGTCGCCGTCGCAGTCAAGGCGGTTCGAAGGGTGGTGCCAAGGGCCGACGTCGCCCACCTCGGGTGACTCGACACCACCGGGAGCACCGCCTTGACGAGGCACTGGACTGGATGCATGCCGTTGAGCGGACCTCCCCTGGTGACCGCTCCGCTGTTGGTAAGGCTCGTCGCCGCGTAGGCCGGATTAATTCAGCCCTCGACCAACAGCGTTTACGACACCGGTTCGACTCGAATGAGAAGGACTGTGTGGATGGCATCCTGGCCGAGGCCCGTCTAGCTCGGACACTGGCGTCGGGACCGGCTGATGTCTCCTCCTTACCTCCGTGTGGGTCTCATGCTGTTTCAACTCCGGCTGTGGCTGTTGCCGATGGCACCTGCCCAATTTCGAGCGATGATTTGTGGAGATACTTCGATGGCGTTAATTCGCCCCGCCACACCTTCCAGGCTGGTGCCCCCACTGGTGCTGCTTTTCGCGCAGCCTTGGCCCGGCTCCCAGCCGCTTCCTTTCAACACGCCTTGTTGACGACGCCACCGACTGCTGAGGATGTCGAGGACCAGCTTCAACTCGCCCGTGGTGCTGCTAGCCCGGGTTTGGATGGCATTGGTCATGACATTTACAAGCACTTCTCGGCGGAATTGACGCCGGTGTTGGCAGTCATTTTCCAGCGATGCTGGATGGCCAAGCGGGTACCACAAAGCTGGAAGGTGGGAATGGTGCGGCTGCTTTACAAGAAGGGCTCTCGTGACAACCCTGCTAACTGGAGGCCCATCT